GGACTTGTATGCATGCATATAAGCATAACCAATGGACATAAGACACTGGGAGATAGGGGAGGCTAGGGCAGGGGGAAAAAATGGACACATATGTAGTACCCTTTGTAATAAAAAATACAATTAAAAAAATTGTTTTGGGAAGAATAAAAAAAAAAAGAAAGTTATTCACAACTCCCATAAGGTGTCCCTTTTCTCCCTCTCATAAAAACAAAAAGGAATATAAATCAGAAAGAGTGACTTTGTACTACCCACCTTGAATCTGATAGCATTTTTAAGATGGTAAATCATTGCAACATTATTCAAAGTGGCCAAGACAGGGAAAGAACCCAAGTGTTCTTTGATAGAGGATTGGATAAAGAAAATGTGGTACATACATACAATGAATAGTATTTAGGCATAAGAAAAGATGAAATGTTGGCATTTATGACAATATGGATGGACCTGGAGAATACTATGCTAAGCGAAATAAGTCAGTCAGAAGAGCTAAGAACCACACGATTTCACTCATATGTGGGCAATAAAACTGAAACTCATAGACACAGATGACAACAGTATGGAGTTTACCAGAGGGAAGGGAATGGGGGTTAGTAAATGGTAAAAGGGGCCAAATATAGGGTGAAGGAAGATGATTTTATTGTGGGTGGTGGGCACACAATACAATGTATAGATCATGTATCATAGAAATGCACACTTGAAATCTACTTGACCCTATTAAGCAATATCACCCCAATAAATTTAATAAAATAAAAACATCTATAACTAATGGAAGGAAATAATTACGCTGGTAGTTGAGAAAAGACAGGAGGTAACAGGAGGCCAAAGAGATTAAGAGCAGAAAGAGTAAGAATATTGTGCCAACTACTTCTAGTGCTCTTATTTCATTTTCTTCTTATTTTAGATCAGCTAGAAGAAGACAGCATGTACAAGTATAAGTGAGGGTGGTAGACGTTCAAAGAGGAAAACTGTGAGCTGTGGAGTTTGGAACAAGAAAATTGGTGGTGAAACAAAGGGATGTTTTTGTGGAAAGGAGAGATTTTTAGATTAGAGCTTTGTGGACTTTGTTAGAAGGGGAAAGAGAAAAAAGTCAAAATTAAAACATATATATATATATATATGTTTATTTAAAAATAAAATGTGAGATGGAGGAAATAAACCAGCTATCTCATGAATCTCATGATAATTTCTTGACCATTTTTTATGTTAAGGGCATTGTTTTAATAGCGATCCCTTTGGTACTTCAAAAGTATTTCTAGGAGAATATTGTGGTAGTGAAAAGGTGTGCCTTAGAAAACTAGGTCATAAAAGACAACATAGCTTCTTCCATGCTCTCCCTTGGACCATTCCCTCTGCCATGTTGTAAGGACATTCAGACAGACCC